GGCTATGAGGGAACTACAGCACGGTCACATGACTTCACCACCGCTAAGCTAAAGGAGGCTAACGTTGGGCTATGAGGGAACTACAGCACGGAGTATGGGCTATGAGGGAACTACAGCACGGTCACATGACTTCACGTCTCCACCGCTAAGCTAAAGGAGGCTAATGTTGGGCTATGAGGGAACTACAGCACGGTCAGATGACTTCACGTCTCCACCGCTAAGCTAAAGGAGGCTAATGTTGGGCTATAAAAGGAACTACAGCACGGTCACATGACTTCCCGTCACACCGCTCAGCTGGAGGGCCTAACTGCCCCCCCCCTCTACACACCTCGGGGTTGTCCTCTCTCTTGGCAGGGAGAGACAGCGGGGGGGTGGAGGGGGGGGGGCTCACCACCAGCTTCTGCTCAGATCCACCTCCGGGTTTAACCGTCTGCTGAGAGGAGGTGAAGAAAATCAATCAATCAATCAGCAGACGCTGCTGAAACACAAACCTGAACATTTGGTTATTAAGGAGTAATGTTGCGTAATAAAGCATGTTGTGTAATACCATGTTTTGTGTAATAACATTGTGTTATAACATGTATTGTAATAACATGTCTTTTTAAGGAAGTTTATATTGTTTAAAAACATGTAATAGAACGTATTCTGTAATAACACGTATATTTAGTAATAACACGTATATTGAGTAATAGTATTGTGTAATACCATGTTTTGTGTAATAAGGAAATGTATATTGTGTTATAGAATGTGTTGTGTAATAACATGTATTTTGCATATTGTGTAATAACATGTATATTGGGTAGTAACATTGTGTAATAGCATTGTGTAATAACATGCATATTATGTAATAACACTGTAACATGTTTTGTGTGTAATAACCACGCTCTCGGTACCTTGGGCTCTGCATTCAGGCTGCTGATCTGGATGGGCTTGTTGGGGGCGGGCTTCAGGGCGGGGGTCAGGATGGGGGTCAGGACGGGGGTCAGGAGGGCGCTGTTGGCGAGGCGTGTTGTTGTTGTGGTCATCATCGGGGGGGTGGCGATCACGATGCCCGTCAGCGTGTTGCTGCTCTCTCTGCACGGCTGACCGTTCAGGATGCGCACCTGGAGGGTGGGAGGCAGTGAGAGGTTTGAAAATACTCTCAAAACGTACCTATTCACTCTAGCTCTCTGTTACTGTTTCTGATTTTGTGTAAAGCACTTTCTGGCCTAGTTTTACTGAAACAGAGTATTCCTACACTCTGGTACTTCTACTTTTACTCAAATACAAAATCTGAGTACTGCTACTTTTACTAAAGTACAAGATCTGAGTACTTCTACCTATCTTGATGCTCAGTATACACTGCTCTTCATCGTTGTTATGTATAACATATAGTGTACTGTAGAATGAAGACGAGGGGTTGAAGCCCTGCTGATTGTAATGATGGATGAAGATGAGATGTTGACAGCGAGCAGAGCGCACCTGGTGGATGGGAGCCGCTGAGGGCAGAGAGGAGGAGGAAAGCTTGGTGGCCAGCATGAGGGGCCGCTGCAGCAGCTGGGGGGCCGCCATCATGGGGGGAGGGGGCGCCGGGGCGATGTGCACGTTGGTGTTGGAGGGCGGGGGCGGTTTGGGCCGGACCTGGAGACAGCAGACAGCCAATCAGAAGAGAGGAGAACACAGGTGAGAAGAACACTGCTGGGTGACGCCACTGAGGATCTGAGGGGGACTGATGCTAATGCTAAGGCTATTACTAATGCTAAAAACAAAGGCTAATGCTAATGTTTATACCAGCGCCAATTTTACATACTTTTACTATTATAATATTAATGCAAATGCTGATGCTAATATTAATGCAAATGCTAATGCTAAAAACAAAGGTTAATGCATATACCAACGCCCATTATAGATACCTTTACTTGTACTCATAGAAAACTAATATTAATGATGCTGATGCTAATGCTAAAAACAAATGCTAATGCTAATACAAACGCCAATTTTACATATTTTTACTTAAACTAATAAAACACTAATATTAATGTTGCTGATATTAATGCAAACACATATGCTAACGCCAATTTGACGTACTTTTACCTACACTAATGCTAATGTTTTGTTTAATCCGAGAGCACTTCTGAGTTTTTTCACGCAAGATTATTTTTATCAGACGTACAATCTAATGCTTCTCTTAAATGTGATAGTTTTTCTTAGTTAGCTTTCACTTTAATCTCAGAGAATATTAAGATTATCTTTGTGAATTAATAACTCTAATCCCACATTATTTCCCTGTCTATATGAGCACCCTTGATATTGTTAAACAAATTAATATTTGCTTGTTTTTTCTAATTGTTTCCTCCCTCGTTGTGTTATTTTAGCAGTGTTAAAGTTCTCCTAGCAGTGTTGAAGTTCTCCTAGCAGTTATCCTAGCAGTGTTAAAGTTATCCTAGCAGTGTTGAAGTTCTCCTAGCAGTGTTAAAGTTCTCCTAGCAGTGTTGAAGTTCTCCTAGCAGTGTTGAAGTTATCCTAGCAGTTCTCCTAGCAGTGTTGAAGTTCTCCTAGCAGTGTTGAAGTTATCCTAGC